ATATATATATATATATACGGTACAGCAACTTGTACTTGCCAATCCTGGACAAAACAACATAAATATCACTGCAGGAGCCAAGTGATGTGGGCTTAAAAGCTAATACAACTAACGGCGAGGCTAAGGATATGGCTTTCTGGGGAGATTGTAAATTGGGTAAGAAGGTAAGAGACCTTCTGATGGCAGACAGCTTTGCATCAGGTCACATTTGAATATAGAACAGATCAGCAGTACGTGGCACGGGGCAAGCAATGGGCCGTGTGCTGCAAGGTGAAATGCTGTCCTCGACGGGCTCCTGAGCAGCGGTGTTTCCACAGGGCTCCTGGAGGGCTGATGTGGGGCAGATCCATCAATGCCCTGGAATTAAATTCAACACCACTGTTGCTAAACATCACAGGTGACCCACAGAGGAGAGCAATGACTGTGAAAGGGACACCAACACCCGTGGACCTGTCACTCCCTAAGCTGGCTCTGCCCAAGCCAAGCAGTTGTAGCATAGTCAAATGTGTCCAGGAACGGGGGTGCACCCATGAACAGCACCCAGGGTGCTCAGCCGTGATCCCAGCAGGCAGGTCACACTGCAGCCACACAAAGCCACGCTCTGACCTGAAGGACCAACGCAATTTTCAGATAGGAGGTAACAAGGAGGGAATTTTCTCCCTGTAGGAAGCCGTGGTGAAGCCAGTCCCAGTGTGCTGCAGACAGACTGAGCACCCTCGTTTTTCAAAGGTGACTTGAGAAGTCGGAGACAGTTCAAAAAAGAGGCACTGACATGGTTCGAGCCTGGGAAAAGACGCTTTATGACTTTGCGAGACCAAACAACTTCAATCTGTTTCTCATGCCAAAAGGAAAACTGAGAGATTTCAGCGTATTAACACCTTCATGGGGAGAAAGTGCTGTCTTTCCTTAATTTGGCAGGGAAGAGTAGAGTACGAGCTCATTGCTGGAAGCTGGAACCAGTTGAAATGAGGCATAAAATATTAGCAGGGGTGGTGGTCCACCGGAACAACAGTTTTCCAAAGGATGAGCTCAGGGAGAACAAATATCTCCAAGTCTTCAAACCATTACTATCTGTATCTGGCCCCAGGTTACTCGGCTTACTACAGATGTGCCCTGGCGGATTTGGTGGCCTGAAGCTGTAGGGATATATAAATCATTAGACCAGGCCGATGGACCCTCAAAAACTTTGTTCTTCCCACAAACTGACTTTCTCGATGCACCTCTGCCAAGTAACTTCATGGCTGTGCTGTCTGCTCCGGGGTGGGACCTAAACCAGCAAATATTAATAGAAAGCAATACTATCCCTCTGCCACTGCCCCGCATGCTATAAGCCTGAGCGGGTACTTGGTGTACAGAAGGACACCAGCCCCAAATATTTTAGCAATGGCCTTCTGCATGATTCCACAGTCCAGAAGCCCTGAAAGGAGCCTGCTGATCCTCTCAGAATCAAAATAAGCAAACCCATCAAAAGCTGTAGCACCACTGGATTTTTACAACACTCTTACAACGATTTTACAACAAACAGAGACCATCTCTGGCCCTGGATGCTTTCTAGGAGAGTTGAAGGCAGGAGCCAGCAGATGCACCCAGGTTACAGGCTGGGTACAGATGTACCCACTGTGTGCCAGGGGTGAGCCCACAGCCCCGCAGTGCTTCCTGGCGAGCACCCCGGCATCGCGGGCCAGGCCAGGCACCGCCTGGTGACCCAGCAGAGAGGGCTGTGCAGACCCACGTCCCGCTCAGATCCCAGGGAGAGCTCTAAGGTGGTGAAAAGTGAATAAATCATAAGTATTAGGATTTATTTTTCAGATTTTATCTATCTCTAAAAATAAATACATATAAAAATGTGTGTGTGTGCATACGTGTAAGAAGGGCTGATACTCATGTCTCTGGTGGCACCCCCTTGTCGCACCCAGCTCCTACCCCCTCCTGCCATGGCAGCCCCAGGACGCGCATTCTCTGCTGACACCCTGAGGTGCCGGCGTTCCACTGCACGAACCAGATCCTGCTTCACGGCACTGAGGGCCCCAGCGTTTGGACTGTGCAAGCCAAAATGCAGGAAACACCATCCCCAAATGCAAGCTTTGCTGTTGCCCTGCACCAGGCTGGAACCAGTCCCGCACCACCTGAGAGCAGTTCTGGACGCCTTTTTCATGGCCATTGCTGTTTTGCTTAAGAAGGAAGAGCTGCGTTCTCACGTTGCTCTTATTATTTCCTATCTCGCAGAGATTTTCTAGCCACTGGCTGATGTCAAGCTTTAGCCAAACTTCAACTACAGATCTTCTCCAGCTCAATGTCTGGAGGAACATTATGGATTTGCAGAACACCTTAAAATAAACATAATCAAACAGCAACACAGTCCTGACCCTCCTTCCTTCTCCTCTAGATGTGCTGTGCAGGGGACAGAGGAGCCAGCAGACTCTCGATTGCTTCATATGATGCACGAGAGGGGCATCGCCAGCTGCTGATAACAGCAGGTGAAGGCGATGGACCCCCACTACCTTCCTCGCCTCCACAGGTACAGCCTCCAAAGGACGGATGGACAAACTACAGAGAACTTGTCTGAAGACTTCAAAACGAGATCCTGACAGGCGATGGGATTGACCCTTACCAGCCTCTTGCTAGCAGTGACAGAGAGATGTTCCCAACAGCACAGCATCGCAGCGATCATCACTTGCACGGGGACTGCCCGGCAACACTCAATCTCCCACTCCGCTTGGACACTGCAACCAAAAAGCTCCCTGGGCATAAAGGTGCGTGCCCTTCCTGAGCAGGAGGCGCAGG